TTGTCCCTTTTTGAATCTCACAAGGTTTTGTTAGTTCTCCATTAACAATTATTTGTGCTTTTTGAAAAGTATAAATCGACCTTATCTGTTTAATAAAATTATATCCAAGATTCATATGCTCCAAAACTTTAAACAAAAAAATCCAATTCAAATTGTCAAAGGCCTTCTCTGCATCTAAAAATATCAATGCAGCCTGTTTTTCATTATGTTGCTCCAAGCATTCCAGAATATTCAAAACATTTCTAATATTATCTCATAGTTGTCTTTTAGGTAAAAATTTGCATTGATCTTTATGAATAAAATCCTGTAAAATTATTTTCGACCTTTCAGCCAAAACCATGGTATAATCACTATTTAATAAAAATATTGGTCAATAGTTTCTTTTTAAAATCAAATCTGGTCCCTCTTCAGGTATTAATGTTATATTAGCCTCTTCCCAACTATCAGGAATCTTTCCATTCTGCAAAATAATATTGTTTGTTGTAAAGGTTGTACAAGTTCATCTTCTAAACATTTATAGTAGGAGGCCGACAACCCATCTGGACCAGGTACCTTTTCTCTTTTAGACTTTTTGATAGCTTCACACAGCCCCCTTATCGTTATAGATCCATTCAAAATTGGTCTGATTATCAGTAATCTTTGATAAATTCTGTTTATGCAAGTATTCATTCACTTTTTCCAAGGAAATTTTTTGACCTTTGTATAAAGTACAATAAGACTGATGAAAAACTTTTCGCATATTCACATTATTAAGAGTATTCCCTTTTTGTAACTTTACTACCACTTTCTTTTCTTCTTTTCGCAACTTGTATGTCAACCATCTCCCCAGTTTATTTGCAAATTCAAAATTTCTTTGTTATGCATAATTCATCTTTAGTTCCATCTCTCTCACTGTTAACATAGATAGCTGCCTCTGTAAAAGCTTGATTTGGTGAGTTATAGTTATCATCTCTGGAGAATTTTTTTTCATTCTTCTTCCTTTTTTTTAAATCTCATCTAAGATCAGTTGCATTTTCTCTTGTCTTTTCTTTTTAGATTCATTATTGCTTTGTATAAAATATCCTCTTATAAAAGCTTAACTTGCATCTAAAACCATCCTTACTTCTGTACCTTTATTAAGATTATTCTCAAAAAATTCCTTTAACTTCTTTTTACAATCTTCCACCACCATTTTTTTTCATAATAACAATCTCCATCTAAAAGATCCATTTTTCCTTTTAAAACTTAAAGTCACTAGATTATGATCTGAAAATGTCTTTGATAATATCTCCACTTTATAGCCATTATTAGCTAAAGTCTTAGAAATCCAAATCATATACACGCTTGGAAAAGATCCATGTCTTTCAGAAAAATAAGTATATTCTTTGGAATCTCCATTTTTATGTTTCCATGCATTAACAAGCTCCAAATTATCCATTAAATCAAAAAAAGTCTTTGGTAATTTACCCTGTGTTATTTTAATATTTTTCTCAGAAGTTCTATCTTTTTGTGGGGAAACCACTCCATTCCAATCCCCCAGGAGACACCAATTTTCATATGTAAAATCCAAAAGTTTACCCATAAGTCCATATATAAAATGCTGTTTTATTTTCATTTGGGGCATAAATTCCCAGTATCAAAGTCTTAGCCCCCTGTGGAGTGATTTTTTGTGGGGAAACCACTCCATTCCAATCCCCCAGGAGACACCAATTTTCATATGTAAAATCCAAAAGTTTACCCATAAGTCCATATATAAAATGCTGTTTTATTTTCATTTGGGGCATAAATTCCCAGTATCAAAGTCTTAGCCCCCTGTGGAGTGATTTTCAACCTAGCATATCTGCCATAATCATCAGTCAATATAAGTTTTGGATATACTTGGGGGGTTATATACAAAACAACTTTTTTTTTAATCCTGCTGAAATAAATTCCTCTCCCAGATTTTTGTGACTTAATATTTTACATCTTTTTTCCTAATATGTGTTTCTTATAAACAAATCACATCTTTTTCTAACTTTTTCCAAATAATTTTTTTTTCTCTTTTGAGGGCCACTTGCCCCATTTATATTCCACATTAAGCATTTATAATCCATAATTAAGCCAAGATTTTGGAAACATCAGTATCTGTAATGCCCAACGTGGGATCTTCTTCAGGGTCTTGAATCTGTTGTGGCATCTGTTTAGTCTCATCTGTCACTGTCACTTCCCTTTGTGTCTCCTTTGATTCTTCTTTAATTTTTTTCAGAAAATCTCTTGCTTTCTGCACAGAATTCAACCCAAATCTGTTGTTTAAAAGTAAAAATCACCCCTTCCAACTTGTCCCATCTAAGTGGAATTTAAAAAGTACTCTTTTCTCTTGCATAGTATTCTAACTGGGATTTCCTTAACTACAAGTACATCTGTATTGCTCAAGGATTATTAAAGTGCTGCTGTAGAACTTGGTCTCTTGCCTTCTTCCCGACAAAGAGCACAAAGACATCCCATGGAACATTTCTTAATTTTGCAGAACGAGTATTGATCCTACAGGCCTTATCAATCTCTGTATCAGAATCATCCTCCTCCCATTCCAGGAAATCAGACAGAGATTTAACAATCTTTTCTCTGATATCCTCTCCACGTTCTTCTGGAATTGCTCTTAATCTTAAGCAGAATTCTTTTTCTCTCAGTTCCAATAATGCCAAGTTGTCCATATCCTTCATCTGTTTATAACTTCTGTCTTACTTTCCAAAACTTCCACTCTGTCAGTAATTTAAGTCTGCAGCCAATTGCCCTACACATTCTTCAGTTTTCCTAACTTCTTTCAAATCTTTTTTTGTCTCTGCAAATCGTTCTTCCATTTCCTTTTTTAACTGTTGTGGTCATCTTTTTGCCAAATTCTTCAAACATTTTCTGCAATAAATCTAATGAAATACCCTTCTCTGTAATTTGTTCTAATGAACCCCTGCTTTTTTGCCCCAGTTTAGCAGGTTTCCTTGGGGTTGTCATGGTGAGAAAGTGAAAGTATGTCAATTACTATGGTAAAAGTTAAAGGCAAGTTGCTTCCTACCCTCCCCCCCCCATTTTGTTTCTTTCTGTCTTTAATACTTTAGTCCCAACTGGCACTCTGTAGTCCCAGTCAAGCTCCTTTAAGATAATGCTTTTTTTCCCCTCTTAATTTCAAAAAGAAAGCACTCACCGAGAGTTTTTGATCTCTCTTCGCTGCCTGGGAATATCTCTCTTTGGTTGCAAAGCAATCAAATCGTAAAGGGATTAAGAAGGTGAGGATTTTGCCAATCCAATGTCCATAAAGGCTGCACAGCAATTTAGGGCACGTTCTAAATCCTCGATTCCCACCGCTCAACTCACGACTGACCATAAGAAAGTAAATTTCTGCAGTTTTCTTGTGAGGAGCAGCTCTTCCAGAGCACAAGTGGGCAATCCCCCGATTTCTCCTTCCTCCAGGTAAATCTCTGTCAGCCAGAACCATCTCCTGGCTGGCAATTCCACTGCCCTGCTATCCCTGCTTGCACAGCCACTCACAGAGATGACTAACCAGCCATAAATGCCTTACCCGGAAGCTGAAGTTGTTTAATCACTTTGGAACAGAACTCCTTATAGCAAAGAGGACAACAGGGAATGGATGCGTAGCACACTGAAACACAATTTTGGTTTGCAACTGCTGATCTGTGTTTTTTCTTGCTTTGACTGAGTCCAATTCCCTTCTCAGTGCAGGATTTTAAAGTAAAGCATTCCCCCAAATGCCTGTTTAGCCTCTCCTTAAATGCATCTAATCCAAGGCACTGGATCTGACCATCATGATCAGTAACTGGTTTAATTGCCGAACTGCTCCTCCTGTTAGGAAGGCATTTCTACCAACTAGAATCTGCCTTCTTAGAGCTGAAATCTATGTTTCTGTGCCTGCGCTCTGGGATGAGAGATAACAGGACTTCACTTTCTTCTGTATGACATCCTTTCAGGTGCTTGAAAAGTTCTACAGGTAGTCCTCGACCTCTGACCATTTGGTCAGCGACCGTTCTAAGTTACAACGGCACTGCACGAATGGTGGTTACAACTGGACCTCAGAGTTCTGCCCAGCCCAGCACCCCCACGGTCACGTGATCATGATCTGGGGACTTCACAACTGGTTCACACTTACTACTGGTTGCAGTGCCCCACAATCATGTGATTGCCATCTGCTGGCTTCCCCAGAAAGTCAATGGGGAAGGTTGCAAGTCACTGGGGTAAGTCTCCCTCACCCATGCACCCTCCCCCAGCTCCTCTGTGCTTGCACTGGCCACTTGTGTACCCCCTTGCACCCTCCCTGATCCTCCCCCACACCCCCTTGCTCCCTCCCCTACCCAGCAGCCGCCACTTACCTGCCTGCCTACCTGCCTGCAAGCCACCTGGAATTTACAACTTCCTGCTGGCTTCCCAATTGATTTGGCTGCGGGAAGTCAGCAGGAAGTTGCCTCACCTAATGACTGGGATTCAGTTAACAACAGCAACCAGGACTGCAGGGATTGCCTTCGCTAAGTGATGCATTTGCACTTTAAGACTGCATTGCTTAGCAACAGAAATTCTGGTCCCAATTGCTGTTGTAAATTGAGGACTACCTGCATCTTAATCCTAATTCCTCTGCTCTCTTTGTAGGCTGTAGTTCCTAGTCCACTGATCATCTTCATTGCCTTTCTCTGATCCAATTTGTTTGCCTGAATCCTTTTAAAAAGATACTGGCCAGAACTGGATATAATACCTGAGGAAGGATCTAATCAATATACAGTGAATTGGAATGCTTAATTTCTATGATTAGGAAACTATACTTCTATTGATGCAGCCTAAAATTGCACTTGCTATAATCAAGCTGCTAACTCACATTCAGCTTGCAATCAACTAATATTCCAAGATCTTTTTCACAAATACTATTTATTGCTGAAGAAGGTATCCTTTATCCTACACCTGTTCATTTGATTTCTGTTTAGTTATAAAATAATTCTGCATCTCTCTGTTAAAGTTGAGTTTTTTTCAATCCCTTTATCAAACCTTTTGAGACTTTTCAATTTTGTTTCTGTCTTCTAAGGCATTAGTTGCTTCAATCCTGCATTATCTAAAATTTGGTAAGCATTCCCACTATCCGTCTCTTCATCCAGGTCATTAAGAGCAGAGGGCCCAGAACCCAACTCTGCAGCACACACTGGATACCTTACTCTCTGAACACGATTTTGTACCAACTTACATATCCATTTAATTGTCATGCCTGCCAGCCCACACTTAATGAGCTTGCTAGTGAGAATACTACAGGGTACCTTGACAAATGCTTGGCCAAAATCAAGATATATTACCTTGCTAGCATTTCACAGTCTGCTAAGGAAGTTACCCCATCAGCATGCCTTATGCATTGGAAAAGAAGGCAACCTTCCACTTTCCCTTCACATTACTGCCTCATCCTCACTTCAGGTCACAAACATTCAGGTGGGAGCCTCACCTGAGGGGAGAGTAATGGAGGAGGCACTTGAGCGCGGGGGTTAGACTGAGAGGAATGAAGAGGCTGTGCTGGAGACGGCTGAATACTCCGGGGTTGTGCTGTGAGATTTCCAAACGTACTGGGATTGCCGTTCTGCTGAGGGAAAGACAATGGGTGAGGAGCTGCCCCTCCTCCTGAGCACCTCCCTCCCAAGACAGGTACAGGCAGAAGCCCCCAGCTCCAGCAGGTGTCACCCCTCATCCCCCCAGGCCTGCTGAAGGAGGTGCCTGCTCTACCCACTGATGCCTGCAGAGGGTGCCCCCCAGGTGATATTCACAAATGCTGCATGATGATATGCCTGGTGACTATCCAGCCTAACAGTGCTCGGTTTCTTAAGAGGAAGACTGTTTCTAAAAAGGTGAACTGGGAAGCTGAGGTGTTCATTCCCTGGGCAATGATCTCGTCCTACATTCACAGGGACATAGTAACCAAGCCTGGGAGAGTCTGTCAGAAGGAGAACTTTTCCCACAAGGCTGTCAGTAGCCTATCCTCCCCATCCTAGGGGCCATCCTTTCCTCGCCTGGGAATAATGATGCCAATTCAGTTGAGAGAACAACCGGTCTAAGCGAGCTTCTTCAGAGTTGAGGGTCATCAGAACCATGGTTTTCAGATTTCCCAACAACAGTGGTTGGTCTCTGCTCCTTTCAAGCAATTGTTGTGGCAACTGCAAGTTTATGCCACTAACAGGTAATCCCAGGGAAGGCCACGCCCAAAACTGAGAGCCTTTCTTCTTTCTTTCTTTCTCCAAACCTCCCTTCTGCAAAAGGGTAAAATTCGCATCCTTTCCTTGAACTTTTTAAAGGAGCTGCCAAACTCGTAATCCGGTCCCAAATTAAGATAAAAGCAGGCAGAAAAACAGAAGCTTGGCTGGGTGGTGCTTGCCCTATCTGGAAGTATTTTAACAAGGGGAGACCCAAAAATGGAAGGAAGCTAGGAATGAAAGGGAAAGGCGAAAAGACGAACACAAATCCAAGCCTGAGGAAGTGACATAAGACAAGCCGAAGAGTGAAAGAAGGTATTCTCTATGCACGACTGTCAACGCAGAAGACTCTCCTGGGGGAAAGGAAGTCAGGGAGCACAGGGGCAGCAAGCCACACGTGGGCCCGATGTCAACTGGGGAGAGGTTACCTAAAGGACTACAGAATATGATAATCTTTTTTCAGGGTGGGGCTTCTCTAGAAGATCTGGGTACAGAGAGGTCCCAAGGGTCCGGGGCTCTTTGCCTCCTACCCACTTGCTAGGAGAGGCTAAGGGCCGGTACTTCCACGCATCTGGGATTCTGTGTTAGCAACTGCAGACCTACCCTGAAGCCTGGCTGAAATGTCCTGGGAAAGGGATGCTCCCAGCCTTACCTGTCTAACAGAATTCAAGCTTTGCATGCTCAGCCCTGTTAGGGAGCCAAGGACGTGGTTAGGTAGTGCACTGTTGGAAGGGGGGAACTTCCCATTCTGACTGGGCATGAACTGCATGTTTGGGGAATCATCTGCTACCAGGCCATCCTTGGAGAAGCACAAGCCGAGCAGCAGCAGGAGGGAAGAGGCCGGCCACAGGAACAGATGCAGAAAACAGGAGAGAGGTTAGTGTCACCATAGGGCCAAGTCAGGCAGTTCTCTAAGCAGACATCAGATAACAAAATGATTTCCCGTTCATGCCTGTCCTTCCTGAGAGGAGCAGAATGGACCAGGGAGGTGCCAAAGATCCCATGCACTAAACAGCTATCTTGGGTGCTTTGTATTTGGGCTGAAAGTTGCCCATCCAGGCAGGATGGGTATACCAGGCTTGAAGCCAGATTAACTGTTGCAGCTGGCAACGTCCTCTGCTTCAAGCTTGGCACAGACCACGTGGAAAAGGGGGGAGGGCGCCAGCCTTGCTCCACTTGCTTTGTAAGACCCCCTCAGGATTTTGTTCCAGCCGAAATTTGGAACAACCAGAATGTTTGGGGGTTTGGTTCTGCTGAACTGCAACCCATCTGGAACAGTTTGGCTAAACTTCCAGGACACAAAATGTCTTTTTCTTTTTCTGGCTTGGGGTTTGAACTGAAATACAATTTGCACATTGTGCACAGCCCTAGGATGGGGTCCTCCCTGAACTGACCGTGAAAGCAGTGATAAGCTCATTAACTTGAAAGAGAAGAGGCACGCCTGAGGAAGCCAAAATTGGGAGGCAAATAAAGCTTCTCTCCACCAGAATGTGCAGTGAGCACACGACACCATCTCTTTGGCAGCCCAGCCTGAGAGTCCCCATGAACCCACACCAAAGGAATGGGCCTGAGGTCACTGGCAACCATGGTGTTCTTTTTTTCCTTCCCCTTTTAACTCTTCCTGTGGAAGGACAGATTCTCACCTTATCAAAATAAGGACTTCTGTCCATGGAAGACTCTTTGGAAATCTGGGGACGGGAGCCAGGACTTTTCCCAATCACCCGGCTGCCTTCGCCAACATTCAGGTTATGCTTCTCCACCTCCATCCGCTTGTCAGGCAAGATTCCTGAAAGAGGAGGAAAAGGGGCTCCGGAAATACTCTCAGACACCAATACTGGCATTCAATGCTTTCTGGAATTCCACACAGGGCAGGAAACACATTCTTGTCAAGCAGAAGGGGAACAGGCATTACAGTTTTAAAAGCACTGTTTTGCTCCTTTTTGTGCCTTTTGACCACTGGAGGTCATGGTGATGTCGCCACTGAAGAGCAGAGGTGGGCAGTGTTTGGAGCGGAAGTGGGCAAGCATGCCTTGGAGACACCCTCTCTCTGCCTCCTTTGAGCTAAGCAGTTAATGCATTTTCCTGAGTCTGCCAGCTCCTTGGCAA